AAAAAAAAACTACACATGTGTAATTAAGTCCTGCCATTTCCGCGGAGAATAAGCTCATGCCGTGTAAATGCACGTACATGACTGCAGCACCGCGAGGAATAAAATTATCCCCCACCTCTAAAGTTCCCTAAGCCGATTTAAACACCGTGATGTTTTTTTTTCTGCGTGGAGAGGGTACCTCGCACTCTTTACACATCTGCGAAGCAAATTGGCTGGCTTCCCTTAGCACAACGTTAATTTCGTGTGGGACGCGGTTCAAGGCTGTGTAGTCCACTCCGTGAAATCGCACAGATAAGATTTTCCGCGTGCATCACTACTGATTGGTAAGCGCAGTTGGCGTCTCCACTTCGAAGCCACCTCTCGTAGCGACTGCCCCTTCCGATTTGCAAAAATGAGCCAAGATATTTTCCCCAAAATGGTGGACCCCCTGAATGGGAGCACAGCGGGGGGGACCCTTTCAATGGAGACTGCCGACGCTGACTCCCCTTCGATGGACACCAACAACGTGGGCAACCCCACAGTAATGAGCTTCAACATGGAAACAAAAAACAACATCAAGTACGCCGGAATATGCATCTATAACATGAATACGAACGAATTCTCCCTATGCGAATATATCGAAAATGAACACTTCACCATTTTAGAATCTTTGCTGATACAGTGCAGACCGACATGCTTCCTATATCTCTCAAGTAACGACAAACTGGACGACAAAAGGATAAAACTAATTCTAAGTTTGTGTGAAATTAAACATCGTGAGTTAGGAAAGAGTGATTTTTACAACACGTGCTCGATGGAAAATGATCTGAGTAAGTTACTCAAGCCAACAGAAGACGTGAAGAATTGCATCTCCTTCTTCAAATTGCATTTGGCTTGTCGGTCATTCACCAGCATCGTCAAACATATGAACCTCCTCAATGACTACAGTGCCACGAATAAATGTGTACTAACGAATTACAACATAAATCGGTACCTGAAACTCGACATGGCAGCTACCATCGCGCTAAATGTCCATGCGGAGCATATGTTGGCAGAGAAGAAGACGAGCTGCAACAGAGGGAGCAGCTTGACTCTCTTCACCTTCTTAAACAAATGCAAAACGAAGATTGGGGAACGGAAGCTTCTGCAATGGGTGATGCACCCGATAAGGGACGAAGCTAAGATTAATGAGAGGCTAGACATGGTCAGCATATTAAAAGAAGATGGGGTGATGAGGTCCATGATACAGTCGGATTACCTTCGAAAGATTAGCGATCTTGATGTTATAATTAAAAAGTTAAAAATTGTTAACAGTACCACCGTAGAGGTGGAGGAAGAGAGTGCCGCGCGTCGAATGGGGGAATGCAAAATCGGGGCAGGGAAAATCAGGGGGGGAAAAAACGCGTGCACTATAGAAGACTTGGTAAAAATGTACGACTCGGTGGTGGTGTCGAAAAGGATTTACTACTGCCTAAACGACTACCAAGGGAAGTACAGAAACACGTTGGAGAAAAACTTCCTCACGCCACTGAAGGAGGTACTCATCAGTCTGGACTCTTTCGTGAAGCTAATCGAACTGACGGTAGACTTTGACGAATTGTGCAACAAGAACTTTTTAATATCTCGTAAATTTGACGAGCATCTAGAAAAGCTAGCTAGAGAAAAGGACGAAGCGCTAAAAATGATAAAGGAGCACCGACAAGAAGTGGAAGACGACATTAATCATCTCAAAGGAGTTAGCAGAAAGAAGAACGCAAAGGAAGACATAAAATTAGTCGACTGCAATGTTAACACGTTCCTATTTAGAGCTGTTAAAAAGGACATGTCCACAATTCAGCAGAGAAAAAAAACCTACTTCCAAGTGAGGATGAATAAAAGTGAAATACTTTTTACTACGAACAAGCTAAAGGAGCTGTGCAAAAGGTACGAATACATCCTGAAAGATTATAACCTGTCGCAGGAACAGCTAGCTAGTAAGGCCATCCAGGTAGCTTCATCCTACTGGGAGCCCACGACAAAATTGGCGAAACTCCTTGCACAGATTGATGTACTCAGCGCATTCGCCTTTGTCAGTGCGTCTAGTTTATCCGTTTATGTTAGACCCATTGTGGAGACTAACGGGCAAGTGCTACACCTCGTAGAATCACGCCACCCCCTCGTGGAGTCCAATTTTTTGCTAATGAATAATTTTATCCCAAACGATGTGCACATGAATAAGACAGACAAACGGTTGAATATAATAACGGGCCCAAACATGGGGGGAAAAAGTACCTACATAAGGCAGATAGCTTTGATATGCTTGATGGCGCAAATTGGGTGCTTCGTCCCTTGCACGTATGCTAAAATGCCTATTTTTTCTAAAATTATGTGTCGAGTGGGTTCGTCCGACATTCAACTTAAAGGCATATCGACATTCTTTTCCGAGATGATAGAAATTGCAGCCATTATTAAAAATGCAGGTGAGAATACCCTTGTCATTATAGACGAATTGGGAAGAGGTACCTCCACTTATGAAGGCTTTGGAATCAGCTGGGCAGTTGCTCAGTACATTCTTAACAAAATAAAATGCTTCTGCTTATTTGCTACTCACTTCCACGAAATGTCAAATCTGGAATATGAATATCAAGGGGCTACTAACAACCATGTGGGGGCCAAAATCGATTCGGAAAAAAAAAAAATTTCCTTCCTCTACGAAATTAAGAAAGGCTATGCTGATAAGAGTTATGGAGTACATGTGGCTCAGATAGCCAAGCTGCCACAAAACGTTATCGACAAGGCTTTTGAAAAATCCAAGGAATTGGAATCTATTGAAAATCGGCACTACTTTCGAACCAAGCTTACGGGAACTAATCGGGACGATGTGCACAAGATGGATGTGCAGAAGAGAAGCCACGATTTGTTGCGCGGCATTTTCTCCGCCACAGAGGAGGAGCAGTTCATTTCGCACGTCGGGCAGAATACGGCTGCGCTGAGGGAGGTGCTTGACGAGATGTAGCACCGGGGGAGGGGCTCAGCAAAGTGCGGAAGTTAAGATGGGCATATAAGGTGGCCAGCTAGGGAGAGCTTCTAAGGTGTGGCGCGCTTGTTCAAAATGAGGAAAGTTCAACCCGTTTGACAACATGCCAATATGGGTGAAGCAAATGAGCTGAAGACCTTTTCACTGCTTCTCCTCTGTGTGGCTCTCTTCCAAAAGGAGAGATGCCAAATGGAAGAACACGAAAGACGGAGAAGGACAAACAAGGGTCTCCCACCTTTTGCATCCACTTCTTAAGGAGCGGCGGAGATGGCCACCGAAAAGGTGTATATACACCATGTTGCCGCAGTATTTTGGTGCAGTATTTTTTGGTGCAATATTTTCTAGTGTAGTATTTTCTTTGCCTCTTTTTTTTCCCCAACTTAAACTCTAAAATGATGGATGGCCAGGCCCGTTCGGGCGTCGCCTGTCGAGTTGAAAAAACGAAAAAAAAAGGAGAAACAGAAACCAGATGAAAATGGCGAACGCATATTGACTCCCCAGTTAGCCCACTTGGATTAGCCAAAGGTGGCACAAGAATGGGCGCACCAGCAGAAGGGGCATTACAATATAAACTAAATTCTTTCACAGGATTTAGTTACAAAGTCACTTATAAGTTGTTCTGCTTATGGAGTTGTGACCACAAAATTATGCATATGCCTGCATAGCTTAGTTGGTAGAGCATCCGCCTAGTAAGCGGAAGGTCATCGGTTCGAATCCGGTTGTAGGCTTATATTTTATCTCATTTTACTAAAAATGAAAACAATATAAAAGGGAGAGGGGAAAAAAAAACTATATGCAACTGCAACAAATATTAAAAAAAAATTATTTTCCGATATTTCTTTTCGTGATATAAAGAAAGTGCAAAAGTGCATTTATATATATATTATTGTATGGAAGTTTTATTCTTTAATAATTGTGGGGCAGAACGGTCGTGCCTCCGATTTGGTTTCTTCACAAAGGTGCCACCAAAATAATTGCTTCTTCTCCAAACGGAAGATTCACTTTTGCGCGTGGGATAAAATTAATACATCATGGTGTTGGCACACTCGTTTTATTTTTTATTTTATTTTTTTTTTTGGTACTCCCAGACGAAAATTGCTACGTCAAGGTCACCCAGTTTTATTTTCTTTCAGATGGTTTTCCTTACCACCCCGACAGAAGAGCATAACAACAATTATTATAGTTATTGTAAAAAAAGTAGCATTATACGAATGATGGTAAAGAGGGCAACACACATTAGGTTTACAAAATAGATGGAGGTACTCTCTCCCAGAGAGAAAAAAATCTTCTGGTTAAAATATAAGGCGGAGTCAGGATTCCCCCCCCCAAAAAAACTGAGCGTGTATTATATATAACATACCGTTTTGCATACAGGAGGCGAAAAAAAACCTGTGGCAATAGAAGCTTCTGTTTTTGTGCCCATATTTTGCTTTTCTCTTCTTTGGGGGGAGCAAAAATTGCATAAAAGCTTTAAAAATGTAATTTTTATAGAAAAAGAAAAGGTTCACTATAAAAAATGGTAATACAATAAACCCATTATTATATTATATGAAGATACATTCGAAATATAAAGAAATTTTTGTTCTCTTTTTTTTAAATTTGTTTGCAAAAAATTGTCCAAAGCAGGATTCGAACCTGCGTTGCCACATCCACAGTGTGGAGTCCTAACCACTAGACGATTTGGACGTTCTATTAATATTCGCACCTTCTAAGCTATGTTCACATTACAGCTAGCAAAAAAAAAGCAAAATAAAACAATAAAATAAAATAAAGTAAAACCTTCATCTCCTTTTAACCCGTTTTTTTTTTGGCCACTTTATCCGCTTTATAACTCCTCCTTTTTTTTAGTTCGGTGAATCAAATAATTTGAAATTACAGCCCCAATCATTGTATACGCTTCCCCCGCGGATGCTTAAAAAAAAAAAAATTCTGGTCAACCAATAGGTTCAGCAACGTGACAGTGAATGAACCCAATTCACCATTCCGTACAAGGAAAAATTGGCATAACACAATGATAATAACTGCGCAGCTGCCATGTTGCATAACATACTCTGCTATATGAGTGCACTTATTAGTGGCACTCTTGACACGCTCCCTCTTGCGACGCGTTCGTGGTCAAGCGGGCTCGTTCACCGTTCACTACTTCTGCATGGGGAGTGGAGTATACTTCCCTGTGAGACAGATGCACGAACATCCTTCCCCTGTGATAGGATGGAAGAGTAAATAAAAGGGGAAAGAAAAAAGATAAAAAAAGGTTAGCATAAATGGGTATGCCCTGGTAATTCACGCGCTGTTAATTATTTCCAGGGAGGAAACCTGGGCAAAGCGGAAATGTGAAAGAAAGCCCCAACTATCTAATCCTTGAGAGGAAAATTTTCTTTTTTGTTATTTACACTATGCGCAGCGCCGATTGTAAAAAAAAAAGGCATCAAAAAAATGGAAAAATATTTCGCTGTATTATATGTACATGCAGATGCATCCTCGCACGGGGATTTTCTTCTCTTTAATTTTTTTTTGCGCTCCAAGCGATCCTCTCGTAACCTTTCGTTAGGGAATGTTTTTCAATGCTACCTTAGCTCAGTCGGTAGAGCGCCAGACTCTTAATCTGGTGGTCAGGGGTTCGAGCCCCCTAGGTAGCTAGACCAAACGATTCAGATTTACAAAAAGAAGAAATATAATAAAATATTTTTTAATAATTTTTTATTCTTTTATATATTATATATAATCCTAGTAAAAATGAATTATAATTTTTACTTGTTATGGCCATACATCTTTAGAAATAACTTATTTGTACTGCTGCTCAACATGGAAAAGGACGATAATGTAGCGCTTCTTGTTCCCAAAAGGGGGAGAAGAAAGGAGCAACTTAGTCCATTTCGATCCTATCCTCACTCAATCTTCTCATCAATCACAGTGATAATTCGGCTGAGCTGCGGTTAAAATAATAGCGAGGAGACTCCCAATTGGGGAACTTTCACCATTTTTTCATCATTTACGCCAAAAACTGGTGGGGATTCCTCAATCAGAATGCGCAGACAAACGTACCTGCGCATATGTACATGTAAAGAGTTCCCACCCGTGATGCGGCTACTATTCCTAAGGAGAGTGAAGAGAAGCTCGTCTTGGCACCACATGTAAGTAAGCTTCCCCTGTGCGAAGAAATGATAATCAGAGTGGTTCCCTCCTCCGAACTACAGATTTCTCGAAGGGTTATTTAGCTTCCTATCCCCAACCAAAACGCTCAGCGAATAATTTCTTCACCCAGAGTCGCCTTTTTTATAACAACTGGGAATTGCCCCAGATGCAGTAACCTTTCTCAGAGGTTGCAAAAGAAACGTCCAATTCTCATCTCCCAACTCTGAACTCCCTTTTCTAAGTTTACGCCCCTTTTGCGAACACCACATAAACGTTTTGGTTTCCCTTCCCCCATTGGGTAGTACTTAAGGGAGTATAACGTGTAAGGGGCCAGTTTTAACATCACCCCATGGGATGTTCCAATGTGGGTTTTTTAAGGCTACTTAGTAGTCCACCCCCCAGGGGGCATAAATTGTTGCTGCATTCTTGGGAGGGGTAATAATTTGGCCGAACCGAACCATTGCCTCAACACGGTGTGAAGCTAAATAAATTTGCATACATCTTAAAAAAAATAAAAAAAATGACTCCAATGGGAACAAATAGTGGGAATTATCCCTGATGAAGGAACGAAGAATGCACCTCGTTCTATCGTCTTTACACCATTCACGCTGGAATAACTCCGATCAATCTTCTCATTTCTGCATGAAAGGTTGTGCTTGCTGCGCAAATGTGTACTTATAGTGCGCTATGCTGTGCTAGAATCATCTGCTATGCTACACGAATGCAAATGCATCAATTCGTCAAACGCGCCAAACGGAAAGAAAGGAAAATCCACAGTTATTCAGCTTCAATGTTTTGGTTCGCGGAAATGTCATTTCTTCACTAGAAAATGATATGTACGAATATTTTTTTATGAAAATAAAAAGTAGGTAAAAAATAAGTTATATATTCTTTTAGTGTTGGTAGCCTCCTAGGGGACTCGAACCCCTGACCACCAGATTAAAAGTCTGGCGCTCTACCAACTGAGCTAAAGAGGCACTTATTTATATAACCTGAAAGCGGAGCCATATTATTTTTTTCTCAGACTACGAAAATAATTTCTGCCTTCCTATGTCATAATGCACATGGAATAACAATATCTCTCTTGGATCGCTTGAAATAAAAAAATCCAGCCAAACGGAGAAAAAAAAAAATATATTCCCAAAATTCGTAAAATTCATATCTCTTTTTAAGGGGGAAGGGGCGGCAAAAATGAAGCAATTTTGTTTTGCCCCTGCATAGAACCTGACGACACATTCCAGCTGAACAACAAAAAAAAAAGCCAAACTTTTCGCGTCATTTGGCATAGAATATTTTCTGGGGACATTCGAAGAATTTTGTAACTGACTCTTTTTTGCCGCTACTGAAAAGTTAACACGTTGAATGGTACATCAAAACAGAGTTAGAAAAAAGTTAATCAAATTTTTGTCGTGCCAAATTAACCAATTTATCCTTTTTGTGCATGTCCACAAGTCTTTTTTTCTTTTTTTTTTCGCCAATTTAAAGAAGGCCTCGCCATGGACTTGTTCCAAGGCGGTGAGAAAAAGAAAAAAAAAAAAATTCCACAGCGCAACAAAAAAAAAAGAAAAGAAAAAACAGCGTCAGGGATGAAGGCAAAACAAAATTGGACACAAGGCCGATTTGGTTTACCTCGCAGAAACGGAGCACCCGTTCATTTTGCCCACACATTAAAAAAAAAAAAAATCATGAAATTATTTAGTGGGATGGATCACATTATCGAGCTGCGAGTTTCGATCTGCGAGCTTCATCCTGTGGGGGGAGTAAACACCCCAACACCGCACTCCTTTCGCGGAAAACTTTGCAATTATAAAATCATGCCTTCCACGTTTGTCCACGTTCATCATGTCAAAGTGGCTTCTTCACTGTCCCGTAAATTCAGCTGGACAGTTTTTCTCATTTGGCTGCCCCTGCGGCCCTTCCGAGTTATCCCCTTGGTCACCGGCAGAGACGTTCAGTTCGGCGTTCGACCCGCTTGCGTTTTGTCCAGTAGACTCCACGTACATGTGGGGGTACACGTGCGGGTTGCTTTGGAAATATAGTTGATTCCACATTTGCGGGGGGGCGTGTTCGTATAATTGTCCGTACTGCTGCTCATATTCCCGATCGGGAGGGGGCTGCGTAACGGGGGGGTGCATTTCATTGCAGACCCCCTGATTCGAAGTTCCCACCTCCCCCGGGTTGGGGTCGCCATACATATGCACCTGCTGCATCGGTTCGGGGGGGTAGCCGTACGTACTGCCCTGATGCATCTGCTGCGGGGGGTGGCTGTTTGCGCAGCCTTTATCCATTTGTTGGTTGGAGTAACTGTACGTGCTGCCCTGCAGTATCTGCTGCTGCGCGTTGCCGTACGCGTTGCCCTCGTAAGGGCTGTTCTGGTACCCCTGTGGGGGGAAGTTCTGCTGCACGGGGTTATACAGATTCGCATAAGCGCCGCCGTTGTGCAGTCCGCACACTTGGTCATTCGCTGGTTGGTATCCACCCCTGTTTAGTTGGTCATTTGGCTGTGTGAGTGGATCTACGCTTCCCTTCATCTCGGCATTCATATGGTCATCTGCCACAACCTGGGCATTCATATGATAATCAGCCTTCACCCCTGCATTCATATGCTCATGACGCTCCACCTCCCACATATCACAGTTCGGCTGAGAGGGGTCTCCCCCTCGGTTTGCACCCATCGTGGGATTTTTAAAGACCTTCACATCCTCCACGTTTTGCATGTAGTGCCGACAAGGAGCCACATTTTCGTAAAGGAAAATTAACAAGTCGGTAAGCTTTTCGAATTGCGTTTCTAACTCTCTTTTTTCGCTGCTTACCCTTTCGTAATCACGTAAGACACGGATGTGCTCTGCTTTCAGGTGGTCCATGTCGTTGTCCGCAACGAGTTGGTACTCCTTCTCTTTCAACCCTAAATCGATTCTGACCTTGATCAGTTCTGATTCTACCTGCTCGCACTTCGCCTTCATCATTGAGTAGGAATACAGCATGTTATTTATGATGTCATTTTTTTTTTCGATAATTTTATTTAGATAAATTTTTTCCTCCAAGTGGGTAACTTCTTGTTGGTTTAGTTTATCTCTTAGTTGACTAACTTCCTCACTGATGTGTGACATCAAATCAGTGTTGTCTTTCCTTCCTCGGGTTATCCCTTTTCCCTTTGTTTTCATCGGCTTATTTTTGAGATAATTTCTTTCCTTTTCCGCCCCTCCTTTGCTGTAAAAAAGGTGGCCCTTCTTTTTTCTTCGCGCATGGCGGGTGGCAGTTTCCACTCCGCTTGAGGCACTACTCTGGTGGTAGTCATCCAGGGAGTAATCATCACATCTCTTCCTGTTAGGAGCATCCACATGGCGATCCTCTTGTCTCCAGTCGTCCGATTGACTTCCTTCCCCGTGCATCTCAGCTGGGGAAGATTCCCCATCCTCCGATTCGCTCAAAATACATTCGGCGTCCCCCCCGTCCTTGTGTCGATCCGCCCCGGAGTGACTCCTCTTTGGAGAGTAGTACCCATTTCTGTTCCTACCTGGATGGTCCTTCCGATATGCATAACTCTTGGATTGCTCAAAGAAGTAGGTCAACATAGAGTGGTGAATAAAATTGGAATAAACAAAGTGGATGCAGAAAATGGACATCTCCTTGGAGTAATTGAAAAAATATTTCTTCCTCCTCAGATCGGAAATGCCTCTTATATTTTCATGTGCATCTTTCGATTTTTCAAAAGAGACAAAAAAAAAATATTTTTCGTCAAAGGTGAATCTACAAAAACGGTTTAAAGAATTGTACATGATGTTGAACAGATCATTGCGCATAATAATCTGTACGATTTTTTTTTTTTCTTTTTCTTCGTTCGACTTGAATAGGTAAATAGCTATATACACGCAGATCAGACAGCTGTTCTTTTTGCTTCCCCAATTGTTACTTAACATGGGTAATAAAAACTTAAGCGAGTCGATTTGCCCCTTGACATTTCTTCTATACAAAATTGAATTTATCCTAAATGTTAAGACACTTTCGCTGAAGCGTTCATTCGCTTTCTGAACATGGTGTTTCCACATTCCGTTGTAATCGCGTGCAAACAGTTCATTGTAGTACATCAGCTGTTCAAATGTTATCTCTGCGCTCTTCAGAAATTCCTCAGCAGGGTGTGGCCTCTCATCAGAGGATAGCCTCTCATTAGGGTGTAACATCTCATGAGGATTATTGCTGCTCGTTAGGTTACAAATCCTGAGTAGCAATTCGGACAGGTTCATATATTTTAAAAAGAATGTTTCCTTTTGAGGAATTCCGTTTACTCCTGAAATTCCCAACTCGTCGCTGTTTTTACCGCCTAATTTGCTCTCCGACTTGTTCCTCCTTTGAAAGGCCTTCTTCAGTTTGAGAAGCAGCTTCGATACTTTTCGCGCAGTGTGCATCACGCAGTAGTTGAAGACGGCTCTCCGAGAGAAGAGGGATTCTACTAGGTACTTCCCCACTTGTGCGTGCTTCCCCCCCAAGAATAAAAAAAACTCATAAATGCTGTTGCAGAAAAGCTTCTTTCGATCGTAAAGAAACATAATCAGCAGCATGTCTGCACATTTAATTTGCTTCAAATGTTTCATGTAGTATGTTAGCACTTGTTCTAGGTGGAAGTAGTTCTTCTGCTTGAGCAAGGCCTCCACGAAAGAGTTCACGTCGTGTTCTTTATCCACTGACTGGGATGACTCCTCTCCACCACCGCTAAGAGCAAAGGGGATGAACAGAACCCTTACGCAGAGGCTCTCATCCTGGAGGAGAAATTTGCAGCACATGTTGAGGATTCCAACAAAGTGGGTATTCTTGAAGGTCCGCATGATTTGCTCGGTTTCGGTGTGCACACTGCTACCGGTGTGGAGACCTCCCCCGTGGAGACATCCCGCTTGTACCCTCCCCCCTTGTCCACTTCCCGTCTGACTGCTTCCCGCGAAGTTGCTTCCAATGCTGGCGGCCACCGGGTTGCTTCCCATCTGGCCTCCGCCACTGTCGCTGCTCGGGAAGACGCTGCTTGCGCTGGCGCTTACGTTGGCGCTTACTGTACCACTGAGGCTGACGTTATTGCTGCCCCCCGGAAGGGGGCCCTTACCAAGTCGACTGAACTCCACAGCCATAGGGGCCTCACTACCAGCGTCATAATTGGAGCAGTTTTCATTCCGGTGATAACCAAGCTGATCTGTTTGTCTACCACCATTCGCATATTTCTCCATATAGATACACATAAATTTAAAAAAAAAAAAAAAAGAGCTTTCGAAAAATCTCTCCTTCTGCAAAATGAGCAGAAACTTTTTAGAAGACAAACCTGTATAGCTATTCACCCCATCAACTTTACATGAGCTAGCCAAAACATCTAGAAATACGTTAAGCACAAAAATGGAATTGGAAAAATATTTTCTCATATCATTTTTACAAATGTATATGATAACATTATACATATTAAGTACCAACTTGATGAACTGCTCGAAAATGTTCAGTTCATAAATGTACTTGAGGCCAAATTCGCTACTGATTATGAGGCACTTGAGAAGGAGCAAGCTGCTCTTTAGGTCTATGTTTATGGAAATATTGTCTAGATAGATCTCCATCTGTTCCTGTTCGCTTTGAGGTTTCTCCCCGTGGGGGGCTATCATTTGGAATGCGCTACGTTCGATGGTGGTAATTTCTGTTGCGCTACTTTCGGTTTTTCCGATTTTTCTGTGGTTCATTTCTTCCCTTTTTTCATTCCCCCCGCTTGCAGCAGGGAGGGGAGAAATTTTTGTTTTTCTCTTTGGCACCACCACGTTGCCGTCTTGATACAAAAAGTACAAGTCACTAGTTGGTCTAAACAAGTAAGCATGTTCATCCTGGATTATTCTCATCACCGTTTCGATAAACCTTTCATACGTGATGATATTCCTAACCTCCCCGCTGGACTCGGCCACTAACAGGAGCAGTAGAATAACTTCATTTATAAGATAGGCGTCCTCATTAGAGGCTATTATTGCTAGCAACTTGGAAAGGAAATGATTTTTGCTGAGTATTAGCTTATCGATGGTGCTTCTCACATTTTGGATTCTTGCCTCTCGGTGCATTATTAGGCTTATATTTTCTTCGCAAATTGGGATTTTTTTTTTTTTTTTTTTTTTGTCTCTTCCTCTATTTCTTTATTCACCGTTATCAAGTCATTCGAAATGTCGGAGCTTAAATAGGCGCAACTTTCTTCATTCTCATTATCGTCATCAGTGCTCGTGTGAGAGTGTAGGTTTCCATGTGCAGTTTCTCCCTTCCCACCGTTGTCATTACTGTTGTCATTACTGTTGTCATTACTGTTGTCATTACTGTTGTCATTACTGTTGTCATTACTGTTGTCATTACTGTTGCCATTACTGTTGTCATTACTGTTTCCGTTACTCTTGTGTTTACTCTTGTCTTTACTCTTGTTGTGCTTCCCTTGATTGGTAGCCTCGTGAGGTGCTGAACTGCAAGATGATGGGAGTCGAGCTGAGGAAGATGCGCCATCCGACTTGGGAAGTCCCTTCTCCCTGAACGTTCGACTTGCCTGTCTCTGTAGCGAATTATCGCTTGTGCTCTGTTCATCACAGGACGCTGAATAGGCCGTGCACGAATCGTACTGCCCCCGGAATTCTCTCCACCTCTGTGCATGGTGTAACTTTTTTAAAACTCTTCTTATCTCTGCGTCTTCCTCATGGCGGAATAATGAAGACCGGAATTTTTTTCCACTCTTGATGGCGCAAAATTCGTCCTTCTCATTAATGTAATAATGTTCATTTCTTTTTTTATATGATAGCTTGTCTTGGGAGCAGTTAAAGGGGTAGCTAATCAAATGAGGGTAGAAAAAATTTCTTTTCCTCAAATTGTGGATGACTCGCCTGTACTGTTCATAAATCCTTTGAGCACTTTTCTGCTGCACCTGCGAGTCCACCCCATTATGCGAATCTCCGTCGTGGAACAAAATTTGGAAGCACCTCAATCCATACAAATTGTAGTAGTAGGGGGAGGATACATCATTCGAAAAGGCAATGTTATGGTGCACGTAAAAATAAAAATTTACATTGTCATAGATATAAAGCTTTTGCAAAAGGAGGACTAACTCGTAAGTGATAAATGTTGAATTTTCCAATTGGAAGTCAAACACTCTGAAGAGCAACTCACAGTTGTTGGTCTCCTCAAAGAATACGTTAAGATAATTTATGTACCTTTTCAATTTGTTGCAGTTAATTCTTACACTTTTTTTTTGGAACATGTCTTTGTCCAGGCAGATAATTTTGTTCAGATATTCTGCGCTGTTGAGGATGAGTTCTTCTAACAAAGTCCAGACACCATTTTGCTCGAGCAAGTCGGCTTTGCGCCTTCGGGCTTCCTCCCCGCGGGGGCCGTCCCCTCTATCTGAGGCGCCACTGGAATTAGCGTTTGAGTTTGCTTTTTCGTTTGCTTTTTCGTTCGCTTTTGCAGCGGCTGGGGTAGAAGCAGGCCCGCTTCTCAACCTCTCAAACACCCCAATGACGCCCATAAGTTTGCAAAAATTCTTGATGCGCGACGTAGTCAGGTGCTCGTCCTCCAAGTCCACATCGTTTATTTTGTCGCTCTGCTCCTTCCTTTCATTCGCGCCGCTCCTCCCACTTACTATTTCTCCTTTGGAGTTCTTCCCGCTTTTGGCATTCTCGGTGTATTTCACAACTTGATTAATCACGGAGAGGTAGTCACTCAAGAGGATGGCGTCATGGACCCTTTCGTTGTTGTTATCCTGGATGATGTCCTTATCCACCACGTCGTGAATATCCTTCAGCCACTTCTCTATGTCGTCTGTCCTGTTTTCATTTTTCGGTTTGCTCTCTTTGGACGTGCTGGCTTTCTGTAGCCTTTTGAATAAGTGGTACGCCATGGAGGGCGTTTTTTTTTTTTTTCCTTTTTTCTGGCACGTTCGTAAATTCAATGGATTAACCGGAAAGGCCTTCTGCAGGCCATCGGGCAAATCTCACAAGTTGTGATAAACTGCGGGGGGTGGGTGAATAGCGCTTGGAAGAGGGACCAGAGCAAAACAAAGGAACAAACTGTGCCCCCTTACCCTTGGGGAATTGCATCTCCGATTAATTTCGTCGGGGAGTGCCCGATTTGCAGTTTCTGTGAAAGCTGCCCTTGTTAGGCGTTGGCAGTACAGCCGTTTGTTCGCCTTTTTGGACTTTTCTTATGGCTTTTTTTTTGCCTTTTTCTTTGGCCTTTTTTTTGGCCTCTTTTGGGGCCTTTCTTTTTGCCCTTCCCAATTTCGCTGGTGCAATGGAGTTGTATCTCTTCTTTTTCAGGCGGGGCGCTAACGGTCGCACTGAGCTCGCGCGGAGGGGGAATTCGCCAAGTCGTGCTGGGGTTCCCCACTCATCACAGTGCAAACGCACATGTGACGCTCATGCGGGGAAAGGAATTATACAAACGAAACCAACTTTGCAAAAATTGTGAACTTAACGATTTGCACCCATTTCTCCACCGTACGAATCCAATTGTAACCCTTTTGACAGTGACCTTTTGCGACTTTGACTGCTTGTTATTAAGCATACCCATGTGTGTCGCCGCCCCGCTTCGCAGCACTGTAGGTAACACATCTGAGTTGTTACTCTTCCGCATGACCCTGTGTGGCAGACCACTTTCATTGGGGGATGCTTCGTTTTTTTTTTTTTTTACTGCACATTTTAAAAACCGGCAATGCGATGCGATTGGGAAGAGGAAGTTAAAACAACTCCGCGTGTGTCGTGACGGGTCACTTTCAGACAGACCCAGGTCCTGCGCATACAAATAGTTGCCACCGATTGGGTACATATTTTTTTTCCATTTTGTAAGTGATTATACCTGGGCTTACACGTTTTTTTTTTTGTGCATTGAATATAAGAATGGGAAGTGGATAGGAGAGGGATGTCTACTTTTCGCATGTAATCAGCGCGATTCGCCTTACGAAGGCGAAGGCAAATTTCATCACCATTTGACATGTTTCTTGGTAAAGATCGAGGAAGTGGAAGTCATGTCCACACAAAGGACAACTAACTTTTCTGGCCACTTCTCTTTTAAAGATGCATCAAAAGTGAGGATTGAGGAGTGATGAATGAATAAAAAAAAAACCCATGAATGTGCCAATGCGCTGTGTAAGTTTCTCCCCTAATCTATCAATGGGACATGTTGACGCAAAAAGGGGGTTCATTTTTCTTTTTTCTTTTTTCCCGGTTGACTTAGTTCGCTATTCGCACCATTCGCACTTAACGACGCACCGGTACTGCAGTTGGATGAAGAACCAAGGTATGAACATTTCTGACCTGCTTTTTTTCTCCCACCCCCAAGCAATGTGAAGATACGTGTGTCCGTGCACATGTGCGAGTGCATGCCGTGCGAAAGCGTTACAAATGTGTATACATGTATTGCCAGGTGCGGGGGGAGGGGGATATGCATATTCCCTGTGCTACGCTGCGCATCACATGACCCAGCCGATTCCAAATGTAGAATTGCTCACCCTTGGGAAGTTAGGCAGAGAGGACAACCATGACACCTTGTGCATTTTACAAAAATGATGTTTAGCGCGTATGGACAGGTGGGGAGAAAGGGTGCGAAACATCTGCGCCAGGGGCAATTTGCAAAGTATACAATAGCCTCCTTCAGAGTACGGCTGTACATGCACAATCGCACATATGTATTCGTTCATGCATGTGCAAATACTCACATGGGCGCAGCAAGGGCGGGAAATAACCCAAAAAAAAGGAAAAAAAAGAAAGAAATAGCTCATATAGACTGTGCTCGCCAGTGCAACCGAAAAGTGGGGTATGGAAACGTGGGTGGATGTTAACATGCAGGTGGATGCGCACGTGTGTACATGCGTCAGGTGGCAGCTGGGGTGACCACCCAGACAGATATGTACACAAAGCAGTATTTTTTTCCATTTTTCCGTTTTTCCACTTTTCTGTTTTTTCTATTTTCCTTTTTTCTATTTTCCCTCTTTCCCCTTTAACACTCGGACCACGCGCGAATTGCCAATCTCGAGTAGGCACTTCAAATGCATAATTAAAGTCACGCTCATGCGGACGGTGTGCCGGTAAAAAAAATGCAATAAGGTGTAAAGCGGTAGAAAAATAAAGTAAAGCAGAGCAAAACGATACGAAACGGAACGAAACATAAACAAATGGGGGGAAAAAAAAAAAACATATATATGTCTAATGCCAACTTACGACAATCTGACCAAACGCACGTGACGCAGTGCAGTGTAACGATTGACAAAGACAGAAAGAAATCCCCAAGCGAAATAGAAAAAGACAAAACGGAAAAAGCGCAACAAAGCACAGCACAGCGCAACAGAAACAATTCTTTTTTTTCGTTAAGAAACCAATGCTGACATTTTTGTGAAAGGCGGCAGTAAAGGAAAAACGCCAAATGGAATTTTTTTTTTTCTTTTTTTTCCTTCCTCTGCGAATAATTCTGTTATGTAAATCTGAACAACATTCTATGGCTATTTTTTTTTTTTTTTCGTTTTAGATATTTTTAGACAATTTGCTCTTTGATCGAGTATTAAGCGAATTGTTTTTTTTTTTTCTTTTTTTTGTGAAGCAGTCGACATAGTTGCATTGCCACCGCGCACATTCTGCACCAATATTGTAGCAACCTCAGTTCGCCTGTGGGAAAACAGATCACTCGCATTCTCCTGGGGGAATTATACCCCTAAGTGAAAATCGAATGTGCAACTGTACGTGCACAAGTGTGTGCGTATAACTCATCGGAGTGACACGAGCGGTAGTGTGCCTGTTTGTTTCTTCAAAGGGCACATTTGTAAAGCGGCAGATTTGTCTTTACTCACTTCTAATCTGCTTTAATGCGCAGCTGAGTTTGTTAACGAAAGGGGGAAGTTGCAGATAGGGGTGGAAATACAACTGCTTTGACTTGTCTGCTATATATACTGTTCCTTTTTTTTTTTTGTATCTCCTGTTAATTCATTGTACCGTCATTGCATTCTCAATTGCAGTTTCTGAGCAACCTCTCCCCCCCTCTTATTTCCAAACCTTCCTATTTCTTCCCCACCCAAGTCAACCATGAATCTCCTTTTGCTGTCTTTGCTTATTATACAAAACGTCACGAGCTATTTGGAGAATTTTAAAAATGGAGTCAACACACAGTTTGTTAAAGGTAGTTACAAAATGAGGGACATGTTTCATTCGCATAAGGGTGGTGAAAGGACACCTAGCGGAGCAGCAAGTGTCAGTTGGTTACCCCTATGGGTACCACCTTGCGATTAAGTGAATGATGGGACAATCCCATTGGGATAGGAGCCGCTCCAAGCATGGCACATTGCTTCAGAGTGATCATCTCTTCACAAGTGCTTATTTCCTCACATCTGCTTATTTCCTCACATCTGTTTATTTCCTCACATCTGTTTATTTCCTCACATCTGTCTATTTCCTCACATCTGTCTATTTCCTCACATCTGCTTATTTCTGCACCTGCCCACTTCCTCCCCCCGCAGACAACGTGAAGTACGGCCCTGGAAACGAAGTGCACAATTTGAATACCCTGAGCGGGGGAGACTCCCGAGGGAGCACCGGAACACCTGGCTCATATTTCAAGTCACAACATGCCAAAATTGACGTGAATAAGTTGGACTCCCTTTTGAACGCATCTAATTATCTGAAGCCGCTTCAGCATCTCCTAAAAAGTAGTGAATCCATGAAAATGTTCACCAGCTCAGCTATCCAGTTGTCACCATATAGGTTGTCTCGAAAACTAAACGATGATTCTTCAAACTACGATGAGTGGGAAGACGACGAAAGTTTTCTAGAAACGAATGAAAGTGACAATATGAGCGATAGGGAAGAAGATAATGAAGAGTACGATCACTTCGACGAGCAAGACGCGGAGAGCTTTCTCGAAACAGACGAGTATGACGAAATTAACGATGGCGATAATGATCACGACGCTGAGAATGACGATTTTTCCGGAGACCATGAAGAAAGCTTCCTTGAAAAAGAAGAATACGATGACGCCAGTGACAACGAAAACGACGAGTTCTATGATGAGGATGCAGACAGCTTTCTCGAGCAGGATGAGTACGAAGATCTAAGTGATAACGACAATGACGAATTTGGTGAGCACCATGGGGAGAGTTTCCTGGAAAAAGAGGATGGTGATGAGGAAAGCACTGAGGACAATGGAAAGGATTTCAAAGAGGAGTACCAAAATAAAATGAATGACGCGGAGTACCCGGATGAGTACGTTGGAAAGGACGACAACACCAACGGTAGCGTGGGAACCACACAGAGCAGCAAGGAAAATGCAAGCAGCGAGAATGCAGGCAACGAAAATGGAAGCAATGTGAAGGAACTAAAAAATAAAGAAAACGAAAGCTTTTTAGAGAAAAACGTCAATGGACAGACAGAGGAAGAAATTGAAAAGCGCAGCACCTTTGTGTCTAGATATATAGGTAACGACAACATGGACGATAATTACAATGACGAAAATTCTGATGAGGACAGCTTTCTAGAAGAGGACTCGTACAGCTATAATGACGATGAGAAGAGTGATGACACTTACGATGACTACTTCGAGGATAGCTTCTTGGAGCGCGGAAAACTCGGAATGCCATACAGTGATTACTACGAGGAGGACGCTGATGAGGAGGGTAAGCCCAGGCAGCGAACCCCACAGAAGCGCAAGCGCTGATACAGAAAGCTCTTAAAACTAAAAACCCTGAACCATAACCTCTTAATAACTTCATATTTCCCTGTCACTTCTTAACCTCCCCGCCTTCTTCCACAGACACCAAGGAATCCAACGAAGACGTCTTCGATAACCACCACCTGAACGAGATGATCAACACCAACGATTTGCACTCCTTTATCCAAAAAGACATGGGATACATTGACGAAATAATGAATGACAACGTAACTATAAAGGATGCAGTGAAGAAGGGATCCAAAAAGGCAACGAACCAGGCCATGTCCAAGGATAACCTTATTAACGAGGAAGAATTTATAGAGACAGAATCCTTTTTGGATGATGAACTAAATGGATTAATGAAGGAAAATATGGATGCTTCTAAGTCAGATGCGAAAAAAGCTACAGCCACCTTGAGGAACTCGGAAAAAAAGAAAAATGCGACCAGCGCTGAGGGTAAGGGTAGCCCCTCGAAGGGCAACGCGGGCAGCTCGATCACCGCAACCAACACAGGAAATGCAGCCAACCCCACTACGAAGAGCAAGAGAGAGACGAGCAAAAATCAAACCGATTTGTCCAACGAAGATGTTTTCAATGACGAACTCACAGAAGAGGTCATTGCAGATTCGTACCAAGATGGAGGAGATCTAGAAATCGAGGCAGGTGAAAGTCCTACAAATTCATTTGACGACAAGCTGCTAGACCAAGGAGTGAATGAAGACACCCTGCTGAACGATAACAACATGATTTACAACGCGAACATGGTTCCACATAAGAAGCGAGAATTGTACATCAATCCGCACAAGCATACCTCTTCGACAGACAATAAAAGTAGCAAACACCACACGGCGGACGTCGACGCCTTGGGTAAGTGCCGCGCGGAAAAAAAAAAAGAGAATAGCACAATAGGGCAATAGGAGGATTGGAAAAATGAAGGAAAAAAACAAAGCAAAATACGAATTTTTACTTTCATCCTTTTATGTTTCCCTTTTCATCTCCCACTTTTATGCCCGCTATTTACAGACAAAAAACTAAAGGCTCACGAATTGCTCGAACTGGAAGACGGAGAAGGTAACTTTTCCCGTTGCGCAGGGGTTCACTCTGCTTCCCTGCAAAGTGTGCATCGTGTTTATGTGAAATGTAGCGGGTTGGCAGTGCCTCCTTGTTCAGCCGCTTCCCAGGGATGTGTCTCAAGTTCGTGCTGGAACTTGGCGCACAGTCTGCACACCCTCAAACGACAATTTACATCTAGCCGCAATCTTTTGCCCCTTCCCCTCTTATAGGAAAAAACTCAGTGATCGTCGAAACGGAAGAAGTGGATGTTGGTAAGGACAGCAGTCGCTTTTAAAAATTCACCACAGCTTGTGCAGTGCCCCATTGTCGCGAAAAGGACCTCATTTTAATTGAAACATTTTGCGAATAATTAATTCCACCTCCCCCGCTTACTATCTGCTTTTTTTCTCTCTCTTTTTATCCTCCCCTTTTGCAGACCTAAACGGAAAAAAGTCAAGCAGCTCGGTGTCCTTTCTCAGCTCCGTAGTTTTCTTACTCATCGGATTGTTATGCCTCACCAGTTAGAGGACAGAAAAAAAGGACCTTAAATGGAAAGAAAAAAAAAAGTTATCCTGAAGATGTACACCTGTTGATGATAGCACTACTCTGATGTGTACACAAATTGCAAGTCGATGGGGAAGTGGAAAAGAAAAAAAAAATTTTACAGAAGAAGCAGACAAGTGAACTACTACCCACGTGTGAGCATATCAAGCCAGCCGCACATACATCTTGTCCGAAACTCACCCCTCATTTTTAGTTTTTTTTTTTTTTTTAATTTTTTACTTTAGGCCCTATCTTTGTGTATTTAATTTTTGTTTGTTTCTGTTGTTTGTTTTGCGGTTCGTTTTGTGGCTTTATTTTGTGGCCCTTTTTGTGGACCAGTTGGTGGCCCCTTTGAGGCTTCATTCTTCGGCCCCCTTCCGCTTCATCATCCCCTCTGTTGTTTTTTTCACTGCGATTTTTTAAAAAAATAATTTTCCAGACGGGCTATAGGACACAGTGTCGCCTACGTAAAGAATTTTAAATAAAATGCTTCTTTTTTTCCCCTCGCTCGAGGAAGGGTCCAGCGCTTCTGTCTCTTGCAGACACAAATTGTGCCCTTCGCCTGTTGTGCTGTCTCGGAGGGCAGGCACGCCTTACGGGGGAGTCCCGGGCCATATCCAACCGTGCATGGCATCCCCCGCGTTGCACCCCCAGCGTGGAACTTTTCAGTAGCAATTTTTTTGGTTCTCCCCTTGTACAACAGTTACGCTTAGGAGATGAACCACTGGGTGTGGACCCCACGAGGCCGGCAACCCGCCCCCCTCCGCTCAAGGAGAATTATATACATAATGGGGCATCATCGTGTGGGCGACGCAGTTAAGCTTATGTTATGCATGCCTATATAACGCAACGAACGCATATATGCGATAGTGTTGATCTTGCGCGCCATCTCTTTCTGCTCGTTTGTCGAAAGGGGCAGGCGACTTGGAACGGCTAGCCAAGGAGTTCGCGGTGACCTGTGCAAGGAAAGAAGTGCCTACCGATAGGCTTCCTCGCTGTTTCTTCTCTGATAACTATTTTTCTTCGCCCCGAAGCATCGCGCCCACGGCTAAAAACTAGTTAGAGGTGTATTTTGCAGAGGCGGTTCTCCCAAAACATGCTTCTTCCCGTGTAGCCACCTTGCGACGGTGCCGCCTTGTCACCTCTTCATAAGAGAACCTTTTTTTTGTCGGAACCGTCGTTGAGATGGTGTTCCCCAGTCGAGTAACCAAAAGCATCACAAAAGGGACACTCAAAAAAAAAGAAAAAAAAAAAAGAGAGCAAAATGAGCAAAGTGAACAAAACGAACACCCAGAGGAACGAATGAGCGGCGAAATCCAATATGAAGGGTTTTCGCGACTCTCCTGAGGATCCCACTTTTTTGCAACGCCCTTAAGAAAGGGGTCATATTTGTGGTGAAACAGTTGGGGCAAAAATCCTCGATACAATTGAGTTCATCCTTGTAGAACCTCCTAGCAACGGAGGGGAGGAAAAAAAAGGAGAAAAAAAAGAGTTATGTGCCAAAGCGGTCTTGAAGACGAAGCAGATGGCGTCACCCACCCATAGCCATGCAGGTACGTATTCATGCACCGAGCTATGCGTGTACTCACATAAATCTGTATGCGCGAAAGCAAGGCGTCGCCCTCCCCTGTACGCCGTTTGACCCCAACTGGCCCCCTGCAAAAGCGTCCGCACCCCGCCGCCGGAGATCTACACGTGAATGTGGTGCGCAGGTGACCGTGGCCCAGATCGAGACAACACAAGTGTGGCGAACCAGTTATGCTTTCAGAGGAAGAGGGGAGCAGAGAAAAGGCAACCACTAGTAGGAGAATTTTGAAGAAGCGTAACTTCGCCATCGCCGTGGCAAAAAGCGTCTATTCCATGTCTGGCTAAGGAGCAGGCGTAGTCTTTTCACCAATTCGGCACTTCTCAGCCTAAACACTTCTCAGCTTGTCCACTCCGCCGCCTGGCCACTTCTCAACCTCTCCGCCTCGCCACTTCTCTGCCTCTCCAGTATGAACTTCCCGAACATCTCGAAGAAGATGGTGGCCCCGGGAGGGGGGGGGCTGAAGCACAGCGCGGGGGACGACAAGGGGGGGGAACACATCACGGGGAACTTCGACCCCACGGCACTGGAAAGAGGAGCGAAGGCTCTGAAGGAGCTCGACCAGTCGTCGAACTCGAAAAAGGCATTCGAGCTAATCAAGCTCCAGGAACTGACCAAGCAGAAGGAATATGAAAAACAAATGGAAGAGCTATCACTACAGAAAGCGCAATACCTTAGCAATAAAATGAGGATTGAAAATGAGGAGAAAAGGAAAACTATTAACTACCAACAGGAGCAGGAGAGAATCACAGCTGAATACAAAACCAGACTTGAAGCAGAAGCATATCAGAAAAAATTACTAGATCAACAGAGGCAAAACGAAGAATGGCTAAAAAATCAACATGAACAATATTTGAGGCAAGAAAACATTCGAAAGAGAAACGAGCTGGAATTATTAAATTTAAAAATGAAACAAATCAAAGAAGAAAAACTCTTGGAAAGAGAAAACATCAAGGCAAAAATACAAGAAGAAAATAAAGGACTCATAGAAAGAGAAAGGAAAAATCTTGACATACATTTGAAGACGTTAAGATTGAAAGCAGATGAGGAAAGGAAAACCAAGTTAGAAAGTATAAATAAATATTTTGAGCAGTTTAATAATTCTATGTTTTTATTTTTAAATGATAAGGAGAGGTTGTACCGATTTGTCCTGGTAGTTACGCTCACATCTGTTGGGATTTACACAACGAAGCACACCACTAGACTGATACGATCCTACGCAGAAACGAAACTGGGGAAGCCAAAGCTCATACGAGAAACGTCCCTATGGCATATTAACAAATTTTTTGACATTTTTAACATAAAAAAGAACATTGTTTTGATGAAAAAAGTTTTAAAAAGAAGAAACAAAAATCAGGAGAGTAACTTCTTTACCAACATCGTTTTAAATGAAGAGTTACAAGAAAAGTTAAGCTGGTCAATTAATAGCTTAACGAATTCGAAAAGGTATGACCTTTATTTGAAGAATATTTTACTTCATGGTCCACCAGGTACAGGAAAAACTTTGTTTGCAAAAACGCTATCCCATTTTAGCAATTTCGATTATATAATAATCAATGGAGGTGATGTGAGTGCCCTGGGGGTTCATGCTTCGGTAGAGTTAAACAAAATTTTCGATTTTATAAAGCGAAGGAAAAATAAGAAATGTGTCATTTTTTTTGATGAAGCTGAAGCGTTTCTTAGAAGAGGGAGAAATGAATCATCGGCTCACTTTTCAGAGAGCCTTCGGAACGCATTGGCTACTTTCCTCTACCACACAGGAACGGAATCAAAGAAATTCTGTATCATTTTAGCTACCAACTGTAGGGAGATCCTGGACCCAGCTGTCATTGATCGAATTGATGAGCAGTACATTTTTGATTTCCCAAAAATTACCGAAATTAGAAAAATGCTTTCTCTTTATTTTAATAAATACGTCTTCCCTTTGAAGAAGTACGACATACTTGTCGACTCTTCAATCGATGATCTCTACTTGGATGTTTTAGCTAGTCGTCTCGTTGGTTTATCCGGGAGACAGATTTCTAAGCTTTGCCTGAACATACAGAACTGTGTGTTCGGTAGCAATTCTAAGGTTGTTTCGAAGGATCTGATCGATTTAATCGTTAGTTGGAACTTAAGCAATTCGTTTGAAGCTCGCGGGGAGATGCAGACAAACATGCACGGCGCTGCTCCTACCCCAAGGGGATCCGCCAGTGGGATCTCGCCTGGTGCCAATAAAGAGGGCGAATCAAAATCCGGGGAAAACTCCGGGAAGAACTCTGGACCCGACATGGGCGTCTGCAGGGGTGCAAACATGGAATCCAACTTGGGGGGGAAATCCAGCACCGTAACAGCCTCCATGGCAAGATCGATGACAGGGCTCAATGGGGATGATTCAAAAGAGGAAAATTCAACTCAGACGAAGAACAAAGTAGTGATGCAGAACTGACAGATGGGGGCAC